ATATATATATATATATATATATATATGAAACAAAATCAATCTAATGTTTCTTCAACTATAATTCTTTCCAATTTCTTTGGTAATATTTTTCTCTATTATCTTTTACATTCCTATTTTTTATTCACGTATTATTTAATTAATAACATAAATTTACTTGTTAAATGGGGATTGCACCTCGTTGTAAATTTATTTTTTTATATCTTTTTTTAAACATTCAAATCAAATTAATGTTTCCTTTTTTTTTATTTGGGCAAGGCGACGAACTTGCTATTTGACGTCACCGGCATGGGGGTTCCTGATTGGTCAGTGGGTATCAGGAAGCGGTGAGCTGATTGTTGACAGCTCTCTAGTTAACGAAGATGGTGAGACGCTTTACCTGAGACACTAATCCTCTCGCAGTCTTTGGAGCTTGAATCGAGTCGCCCCGCTGTAAGGTTTTCTACTCTAAGGTAAAGTTAGATATAACAAACACGCTGTGTTTTTAATGACTAACCGGAGTTCTTAGCTTTGCTAACTAACAAGTTTAGCTGCTACACCTGGAACATTCTGCCATCTGGTCTCCTCCGATACTAAAACTCCATTTGCTCCAAACGCTGGATATTTATTGTTTGTTTTTCTTTAACTCGTAGTTTGCTAAAAAGGTGTAGTGAGCTATATGCAATACTTCTAAGCTGTTAGCTTCTGCTAAAGCTTACATAATTTGGAAAATTTGGCCTGCTAACTGACAGCAGCATGGAGAAATACTGAACATTACATAAAGCCAAGTTGCAGAGCAGGTTAAGCTTTTCACCTGAAACTTCTAGTTGTTTGTGCATTTTGTCAAAGACAAAAACAAGAATGTTAAATTGTGATAATTGTGTGAAATGACCAGCTACAATCCATCCAGTCTTTTTGAGGTTGTAATAATTCATTCATTTAAAGGATTTTCTAACTTAAACTTGTGCAATCTGATGTTTCCCCACCTGCAGCAGCACATCATTTGGTTCCTCTCTTATGAACAGTCAGATTTCACAGAACATCCTCGTTTTGTTACCATTCGTGCATAAAGCTCATCAGTGTTGGCTTTTCAGTGTATTTGTAGCCAGGTTCTCAGAGATGGATGGTGGATCAGAAGTGCGAATGGAGACCCCCACCTTCTGCTGCTCCACCTGTGAAGGAGCATCAATCCCAAGCCGCCGCTCCGCTCAGCGCTTCAAGACCCGCAGCCTGAGCACTTCCTCAGCCACCACCTACTCTGAGCACAGGTCAGTGATCAGGGCGTCACAGGTGCTATCTCAGGTTTTACACTGTCCCACTGGGTTTATGGAGGGAAAAAAAAACTTTCAGTTAAACAGTTGTCAACCTTTGTAGCCCTCCAAACTAAGAATTAGTTTGGGAAGTGTTGGCCTAGTGGTTAGAGGAGCGCTTGTGCTCTGATAAGGTTGCAAGTACACGGTTCCACACCCCACAGCCTGCACTTTGGGTCCCTGAGCAAGACCCTTAACCCCACACTGCTCCCCGGTGGCCACATAATGGCAACCTACTGCTCCCCAAAGGGATGGCTTAAATCCAGAGGTACATTTCTTCAGTGAGAGATCAATAAAGTTCTATTATTATTATTAATTATTGGTAAAACAACAAAAATGCCATCATGAAATCTAAAAACAAATATTAATGACTCTCCCTACAGACTTAAAGTCAAGTTGTTTCGAATTCAGAATTCAGGAAGAACGAACATGTTTATATTTGTAGTAATAAGTGACGAAAATGAATGAAAACCAGTCAGATAAAACTATACAATTTATTATGTGATCCGATTTGGTTCATCTTTTCCATCAGTCGTCAAAGTTTAGGGAACCCTGGAAATTAAAATGCTTCTAAAATCTGTCTAAATATAAATGAGTTTTTTTAACATTCAGTCCTAGAAATGTTTTTCTGTTTAGACGTTGCTTAAGGTTTTGGGGTTTGGGGTAATCTTTTTTTTATTTTTTATATATATATATATTATGATTGATGCATTTAATCAATAGATAAATGATAACACACTTTAATAAATAAGTAAAACTGATTATTTGGTGCACTTCACCTTAATGGGAGAAAACGATGAAAACGGCTGTAGGATCTGATAGCTTTGCTGTAACCATGAACAACAGACATTAAAAGCAGAGAAATGAGGAAAGAAACACAGAGGGAAAAACAAAAAAAAATCCCCGTTGAGCAGCAGGAAGAGGAGGCCAGCAGTGAAGCCTGAGCAAGTCGTCCTGTTCCCCTCCCTATCTGCCTCTGTAATTAGATGTCAACAAGTTCATGTGAGGAGGAGGAGGGAAGACAGGGAAACATGAGAGCAGATGGCCAGCAGAGGGAGAGCTTTCATCACAAACAGGCCTCATGTCAGCCCTGCTGAGCACTGTAGAGATCCCCTCTAGTCACCAAGCTGCAGCAACAACAACAACTCAGTTAGAGCTTCTGGTTTTAGTGGGATGTTTCTGAAGAAGAAGTTGCTTCAGTTTTTGTTGCAAAAACTCAGATCCTGTGTGGCAACAGAACCTTCTCTAAAAACGGCTTCATGAAGGACGAAGCGTTTCTGGCTGGATGTGTTTGTTCCCTCGTTGATGTGGTTAGTTGTTAGCTTCTGACCCAGCGATGAGCTAACTCTCAAGAGGAAGTCACTCAATAGAAATTCACATCTCCAAGATGTTGAAACAGACTCCCATTAAGGCATCATGTTTTAATCTTTTGAATCTACCCAAGTATGTCGTAAAACATAATTTTAACAGCTTTCAGGGTCAAATATCCCCTTTCATTTTCTCAGATAAGCCTTTTATTTATTTATTTTTTTTTGATAAATGTGATGTAATGTTTATTCCCCTTTTTTCTCAACAGTAGTTAGAAAACAAGCTGGCAGCGGCTTCACACCCGCACTGCTTTAAAGTGTCCTTCAATGCATCCCGCTTCATAACAACTGCCTTTAAAAGCTTCATATTTGTATTAAACATTAATTTATTCCAGTAATCTCAATAAAGCAGATTAGTAAATACCTGCTGCTGAAGTCTGTGAATCAGACTAAGAGGATTTGTTGGCTTTGTTGAGTGATGCGGCATGAAGGCAGCCTGACCCCCTGATACAATTAGACTGTTAAGCAGAGCCAAACAAACAGCTTTTTAAGATCATTTGTTTCCACTTAAAAAAAAAACACTTTGTTATAAACTTCAGATTAAAGAAAAGACAGGTGTGTTTTTGCTCGTTAAATATTGACTTATGTGCTGCAGTTAGAGAGATAAAGGTGTTTGTTTTTTTTAAGGTTGTGATCAATGCATTAATGCACATTTGACTCAGGAAAGTTTATATCTGCTGCTCACCATGCAGATATAACCTTAGGGTTTATTCTTACAGAAAAAAGGCAGGGATCTCAGTATGTCAGCTGATAATGGTTTGAAAATGTGGAAAAACTAGATGACCATCATGCAATTTTAAAAAGAAAAGTAGAATTATGTCATAAAATGTTTCTGTTTCCTTTTTCATTCATGTTTGATGCGTTTGTTCCAGACTCCATAGATATAATTTAAATAGTTAGTAATATCTATAACTTAGCCTTGATTAAAAAAAAAGCATAAAATGTCCTCTTTTATTTTATTTTCTTTATAGTTGCCTCTATTTTCCCTGTTTTTTTTTAAAACGTGCATCTTTGTTTCTCTTCCCAGAAGGACTCAGTCTCTTCATGGACCAAGCCCGGTCACCACATTTGGGCCGAAAGCATGCATGCTCCAGAACCCTCATGCTGTGATGTAAGTTGAATAAAAACTTTTTTTCATTTTTGTGTTTCCTCTTCCTTATAACCTAGCTAAATATTGTATAATCACTGTGATGCAAGCAGCTAACAACATGGCGTCTGATTGCATAAAGCTTCCATCTAAACATGAATAACTGGCTGGGAGTGAAAATGACTCTTAATCACTCATGAAATGACAAACTCTAATACAGCTGTAGTTTCACCATTTCACACCATATTATTTTAAAGGTATTCCTCCCTGGAAAGCATGTGTTAGCTAGCAGCAGATTAACAATCAACACCTCAAAGACCTCGCAGTTTCTGCACAACTTCCTCTTCGGTTTACAGCTATGCATAGTAATAATATTTAATGGCTTATTGGTGTGGTTTATGATTAGGTTTGGGTGTAAGCAGAACCAAAGCAAATGATTAGTTTATTTATAGGAGTCTGAGAATGCTCCCTGCAGCCGGATACTCCCAGGTTTACACATCTGGCAGCTGTGTAGGTTACTACATGCATCATGGTGCACATTCTTAGTCATTTTTCTTCAAAGCAAAAGTATTTCTACCTTTACTTATTCAAAAAGTTTGTGCATTTTTTGTACGTAGATATATTTGTTTCTATGGAGGTAAAGATATATTAATATTTCAGATACTACACAATGTTTCACATACATTTCTTTTTGCTCTACAATGAAAAATATTTCATATTAATTAGTTAATGTGGGAGTAATATGGTTAATTTTTGAGCTGATGTTATGCAGGATTGCAGTGGTGTGAAAAGATGAGTTGACAGTGGATGAAGTGATGAGCTTTTTAGTCATAAAATCCTGGAAAAAGGACCTTATTCCAATGAAAGGCAAACCAATAAATGTTATGAGATCAACTTTTGTTTTTACAATAAGGAAGTTTTTCATATTCTGTTTTTTTTAAGTGTCTTTTTTTTCATTTATTTTTAAAATATTAGGCCTGACAATGCGCTTCAAGGTATTAATATGTGCTAATTACTTAGCTGTGCATTCCTCTTCTGTACCTATTTGTTTTCCTTTAGAAAGACATCCTAATTACAACAAAACATTTTATCTTGAGTACAAAACGGACGCCTGAATAAATCCCGTCTCACATTAATAAAAACAATCAGCAGTAATTCTAAGTTCGCATTTAAACTTCTTACTTTAATTTAAACAATTATTAATGTTGTAAAAGGACGGATTCATTTAACTTCTTTTCATTTCTGGGTTCACAGCAGGAACTCTCAGAGCAGCGATCTGTTAATAAACCACCAGAAAGCACAAATAAAGAGACGATTGTTTTCCTTCTTTTCCAAGAATTGAGCCACTTTAAGTTGATCCCAAAAAGTGACATTTATGTAAGTCTATTTCTGGATATTTAGTTTAAGAGCAATGAAATTCATCAGTCACACAATTCAGTGCTTTATTTCTGCTAAATAAACCCATTTTCTAGAAGCTGCTAACCTCATGATTCCTCCACTGAAGTGTCTCCACATCCTCTTGTGTAAGTTGTGAAGTAAAACTTAACCTTAAAAGGTGAAAAAAAAAAAGAAAATGAATAGATTTCCCAACTAAAGGCCATGCATATGTATTTGCAAAGTGATTAATGCTAATAATTCTTTGGCATGTTTGTTTTTTAAGGTTGTTTCTCTGAATGCACAATGGCAGGCGTGGTGTTCTCTGCACTTAGCTTGGTATGACAGGAGCTAATCTGCTGTATAATGAAGTATCTATTTTAATAAAGATCAAACTTTCCTGGAACCACATCCATCAAGTTTGATGTTGTCAATTCAGCCTATAGGATTAGTTAAGAAGTTGAACAGGTGGATTTTCAGCATATCTCAGATTGTCGCTGGTTTAAGCTCCTGTCATGGAACAGGTACAATAGGTACTGTTTGGTGCAATCTGTCACTAGACAAAATAAAAAAAGTTTTTCAATCTGAGGTTATGAATCCTAACGTGTTGTAAAGTGTGCATGCAGCTTTTGATTTGCAGATAACAGCACTTCTACCTGTACGTTGGCATTTTTAACTTTTCAGTCGTCCTCATGTCGCCTCTTAAAGCTGGAAGCACGGTCTAAAGGAGGTCAGAGCCAAAACAAAAAAGCAGGTCATTGTCACATAACTAAACTGGCGATGGAGAATAAAAGAATCTCAGGAATTTCATGCGCTGGGTTTCAGTCGTTCAGGTGTTTGCTCTTGAATCTTCATGCTGCATCTCTAACTATCTGCAAAATAATACGGGTTGATGATGCAGCCGGAGAGCGATCAAACACTCTAACCTTTGGGTAATTCTTGCTAGAACAGTTTCTCTAGCAGCTGAAAGGTTGTTTTGCTTTTGAATTTTAGACCTACAGCTGCTAATTTTAGCTCATTCTGAACTGTTTTTAGGTAAGATATAGAAATGGCATTGAAAAAAATAAATTTTTGCTGTTGGAGAACATTAAGTATTTGATGAGGATGCTCTAAACTATCTGTGATATTGTTAAAGGTGCTGCAGTTAGCCTATTAGCATCATAACTATTTTAAATGTTTGTTTTGATGAATTCCCTGCAAAGTTCATGTTCTTATCTAAAGCCTGGACTTTTTTTTTAAAAGTCTGCCAGCATGACTGAACTCATCATCCTCCACTAAATAGAGGAACACAGGAAAATAAGAGCAACATGATGGTAAAACATTCAGGTTTCTTAGCAGTAAAAAGTCTCTCTTGCTCAATCACAGTCTGCAGAAATGCCCTGAAATGTAATTAGATGTTTTTCTAAATATTTAAGCAGCTACCTTTGGGTCTCACTCAATGACAGTTTGCACGCCAAAGAGCGTTGCTTGCCCTGTATTATAGAGTCTAGATCTGCAATCTACTCAGAGTGTAGTGACAGAACCAAAGCAACCATTAGATGGGTCTATGGTGCCTTTTATTAATCAAATGTTTTTGTTTCTTTTTGCTGACCTTTACTCTCAGTCGTCATCCTGCTGTACCCAAACAATAGAGAACAGTGGTCGGTCTGTTGGTGCGTCTCTAGCTGAGACTGATTTTGTTTACCACCTTTGCTCTATTTCAGACGTGGACTTCCATCAACCCTGTAAATCTTACTTGTTTTTATTACACAATGCAAATTGCGACCTAATTCTGACATGCGTTGTTGTTTTTGCATCACCCTGACTCATTATCTTCCCAAACCAGTTTGTTCAGATCTTCTAATTGTTGGCTTTTTGTTTGAAGGCCTGTCCTTGTTTCGGGGCCTAAGCCCCGGACTAATTGTTGACCTACTGATGCGGTCCATCACGTAAGTGTGGCTGTCTGTTACCCGCTCGCTCTGTTTGGACGGATTAGCTTCCTCAAAGTCGCTGGACGGGTTAAAAGTAGTAAAACCAGGCTATCTTCGTCACAAACAATGGCTGTGTGGAAGCAGTATTAGGAAAGACCAGTCGGGGCGACTCATTGGAAAAGGTGATTAGGCTTGGAAGACAAAAGTGAAGCGTTTTTAGTGAAGACTTTGACTAGAAGAGCGTCAAAGCTGGGTGAGGCTGTGCTGCAGGCCGAGGAAGACGATAACAGCTCTGGCTCCTTATTGGTGGAGTCAGCCTCCTTATTTGGGAGCTTTTTGTTTCTCATACAGATCAAACCAATGTCCACTTTTTTTTCTATCAATGCTCATATTTCATTACAGCTGAAACTGAACCACATTTATTGCATTTATAAAGTTTAGTCAGATAAGATGCTCTGAGTGCAGATGATCAGTGTGATAGTTGTATAAGAGGTCACCTCAGTTCTATTAGATCTGTTTATGTAGCAGCAAATCCAGTCAATCGCTCGTCTAAGGCCACTTTATATAAAAAGAAAAGGTCTTTATTTTCATAAAGTTTAGCCAAAAACAAGAAACCTTTTCATTTACGTGATGGAAACCATGAAAGAAGAGAAATGAAGTCGATTCTGATCGAAGCTTTTAGACTCTTTATTAAGTTGTTTCACATGAGATTGTCAAAAAAATAAAACTTAAAACACTGTATCTGGATACATAATTTGATACTAAATACAAGAATTGTTTGTATATATTTGTTATTGTTAGATTAATACATTTAAAGAATAATACCTTAAAAAAATACTTAAATGTTGTTATATTCTAGTTTTTACTTTTGCGAGACACCGCAATAATTTTGCGAGATCCCCCAATAATTTTGCGAGATCCCCCAATATTTTAGCGAGATCTCGCAATACTTTTATTGGGGGATCTCGCAAAAGTTTATTTTTTGCGAACTCTTGCAAAATTATTGGGGGATCTCGCAAAAGTTTATTTTTTGCGAGCTCTCGCAAAATTATTGGGGGATCTCGCAAAAGTTTATTTTTTGCGAGATCTCGCAAAAGTTTTGCGGGATCTCTCAAAAGTTTATTTTTTCCCTCCATGTCCCTTTAGGGGCTCCGTACATCTGTGATTCTGTTTATGTAGCAGGAAATCCAGTCAATCGCTCGTCTAAGGCCACTTTATGTAAAAAGAAAAGGTCTTTAGTTGATAAAGTTTAACCACAAACAAGAAACCTTTTTGTTTCGTGGAAAAATGGGGGAAAAAAAGTAGAATATTTTTTATGCCTTTACCTATGTGGCATCGACTATTGAATATCCTCCTGGGTAGAAAAAAAAAAAAATCGAGTCTGAAATTTTAATATCCTGACAGCCCTAATTCTAAATTATAAAAGAAAACCTGAATTCAGTTTCATAGACAAATGTTGCATCTAGATGAAACAAAATCCTTTATTCCTAAAGACAAAAGCCTCTAAAAAAGTTTAACTCTAATTAGCTGGAAGGTTGGAAGATTCATCCGTCTAAAAGAAGAGAGGAAACAGGTGCATGTTGCTCATGCTGAAGCTATGCTAATTACTGCATGCTGTCATGTTAAAGTTGACCAATCACATCAAGGATTTTGCAAGACTTTATAAAAAAAAAAAAGAACAATATTTAAACCTTATTTTTGCTTATTTTCAGACAATAGATCAGCAAATAATGTTGAGATGGATCCATTCAGCTGTTAACATGTGATCTGAACTTTGGTCTGCTTCCTGTGAAGCAAAGAGCCTTGAACTGAAAGACACAACAGGTCCCCAAAGACTCCTTTCACATCAGTACACTCCATTTATCTCCTTTGTTGCGACTAAATTTGGAACGCTGTTCATGATACATCTACTGTGTCGTGCACACGCCTGTCCAGAAGTGCTGGTTTGTGCGTGTTGACGCAGGAAAAAGTGAAAAGGCAGCATTCCATTAGTAGTTCATGTCGTACCCTTCAGAAGCCCCGCCCCTTTTTTCAGTCACACGCCTTCAGAATCCATACATGAGACGCTCGAGGTATTTCACATCTCGCACCCACATCCATCAGTATCTGTACTTTTGATGACAGACAGAAGAAAGGAAAATTGATTTAGAGATAAAAACCTGTGCATCCGTGACGAGCGTCCACGTTCAGCCCCTTTACTCTGACACCCAAAAGTAATAAACCATTTCTTTTAGAGGAAACTTGATTTTTTTTTTTCTCGGTTTAAAATGAGAGAGCAGAGTTTAGCCCATCATTTAAAACTAAAGAAGCCGCTGCAGGCCTTCTGAGATCTGGCTGTTTATTAGATCAGACAAGCAGCAGAGAAGTCAGTGGTTCCTTTGGAGGAGCTGAACAGCTCCAAAACTCAGGAAGGACCTAAAGCCAATTAGAAATCTACAAGCAGCTCCAAATCAACGCCCAGAATACCCGCTGTCAACAATAGTGTTGGCAGCATCATGCTGTGGGATCGGTTCACCACACGTGCGGCTTTAATTGCAGCACACGGTGCTTTGAAACATTAAAAGTGGTTCACCTCACTTTGAGCCGCCGCTCTGTGTCGGTTTGTCCACGTCAGCTAAAACGCAAAGGAATGTTTGGCTCTGTTTTTGGAACGGGACAAAATGTGAAAAGATCAGTTTGTTATGAATATTTGTGAGAGGCGGTGGATTTAAGGGCGACTTTCTTCCAAATAAGGCATCCACCTGTCGTCCTGGATCATCCTCGTTAAGACATATTTGAACTGCTGATGAAATGCAGCTGGTCATGCTGTGGGCCAGGTGCCTAGAAGAACAAACCTTCCCCGTCTAAACCTCTAAACCCTCAGGTTCCCTGTTTTTTAGCTGTGTAGGAAACTCTTTAGACTCTGCTGAGAATGTGCAAAGGTTCTTTCCTGCAAAAGTCCGTTTCCAAGTAGGAAATAGTAATTTTTCTCATGCGTAGATTTGAATTTGCTTTGCAGGTTTGCAATTAATCTTCCTCCTCATTTATTGCTTCATTTAAATATAAATTTCACTTCCCTTACCGTAAGAGGACATTAGGAAAATGGCACGCGTCTTGTTTTTTTCCCATAAAACCCACTGCATTGTTGTTGACAACGATGGGTTTCATTGTTTCCCTTTTTTTTTACCTGGTCAAGACACCGAATGATGTCATTAAGTTGAAAATAGTTTGGTGTTGAAGTAAATGTTACCTGTGGTAATAGCAGCTGAGGTCGTGCTGTTTAGTGAGTCACACCTGTCCTGCAAGGAAAGTCCTCTGCTTTAGTGGGCGGGGTCAGCTCAGCGGTGTGGGCGGGGCTTAAGGTGCAGTAAGGTCTTTAAAGAGGAGAGAGCTTTACCTCAGCAGAAGAACGCAGAGAGGTTTTAGTGTTAAGACCCGTCTGGGGCAATTACAGCCACAGCAGCTCTTAGTGTTTTTCAGCTGATCCTCGTAGGAGTGGGGGAGGCTGACCACAGCTCACAGACAGCCGCTGACTGACTTCATAGTTTTCTTTCTGTTTGTTTTGCTGCTTCAAAATGTGTATCATGCGAGGTAGTTGCTAGGGGTGGGATGCACCGTTCTGATAGAGCCAAGCATCAGGACAGAGCCAGGATTTCCTTCTTAGCCCACCTTTTGTTAGACACCTACAGACATGAAGTTTAACCAGTGTGTCACCGAGGAGACGCAGGGGAGCCACGGCGAGAACAAAGTCTGGAAATGGTGAGAGAAATTCTGTCTCCTTATAAAAAAAAGAGGCTGGTTGAAGTTTCTGATGTAACCGAGCCGATTTAATATCAACCCCAGACTGAGAGCAGCTGTCAATTATTTTCTTTATTGTTTAAAAGGAAACTGATTCCTAGAAGTCATACTGTAAAGCTGCAGACATGACTGCAGGTGGATGTATTCAGCAGCAGGGTGTGTTTGCGTTGGACAGCCAGGTGGCTGGGTGAAGGGGGGGGAGGGCATCTGAGGAGGAACTGTTGGTGAATTTACAGGAAATCTCCTCTGAAATGTCCGGCGTTTTTTTACTGAAAGAAAGAAGAACTGTAAATATCTGTATGACTCTTCCAGTTAAGGTCGGAGTGAACAAACATTTAGAGCACAAAGGAAAATGGTGAAATATGACGGTTAATGTTTGCTTCTTATCTTTACAGCTGGCTTAATGTTTCAGTTTCTTTAATAAAATAAGCAAAGACCTGCTTGTATTTCTGGTTTTCAGATCCAGAGTTGCGGTTCACTGATCATCCAACATTTACGCCGAAATTAAAACAATGTTCAGCAGACGGACCAGGTCTCTATAAAGCAGCAACTGTTAGTTCTACCAGTTTGTTCATTTAACCCAAACGAAAGCTTAAACTCCTGAGAAATTCAATTCTTTAAAGAAATATCCTCTTCATACGACTGTTTTTATGTTATTAATAAATTAGAGAAAGGATGGGCTTTAGAAACAGATTTGCTTTAATAAAACTTTTTCTTTTTTGCTTTTTTTGCACTGAATATTTTCCAAATCAAACCGTTCTTGTTGTAAACCAGGTTAATATGATTTTACTGTCAGCCAGCTAAAAGGCAGTGCACAGCAAATAGTGGGGGAGGGGAAGCCCAATTAAAGGCCTTTGGATTATAGATTGTTTACTTTTCAAAGAGCAGTAATAATTCTGTTCTTGTTTTTTGCAAGCTCATGCAGCTCGCTCAGTTTTACTCTGATGTAAGTTTTTAAAGCTCAGCATGAAGAATCACAGATGATAGAAATCGTCATCGTTGCATAAGAAACACAGATGAGCTTTTATGTTAGAGATACAGAGTCCTGCACTGTCTGCCGTCTGTAACTAATGCTGCCAACCAGCGGAACCAGAGGCCGCCGGCAGAATTTGAACTATTTTCAGACGGCAGCAATTAGTTCAACCGATTTTATGTAATAGTTTTTTGAAAGATTGAACCTTTTGCACCTGATTTTTCTTTCTTTTCTTCCTATCAACTAAATTTTATTAGAAATTCTTTCCTAGTTTTATCTTGGAGATGTGGAAATCCTCGCCTTGTCTTTTAGGATAGAGAGGAGGAGAAATCTGATGTCTCTAATTGGAGAGATGCTGATCAGCCCAGGCTGTGATGAACGGCTTGATTTATCGTTCCTAATCTGTTCCAGCCTCCTAACATTTACTTTCTTCCCTTCAGGCATATTCAGGATCCCGCCAGCCAGAGACTGACGTGGAACAAGCCTCCAAAAAGTGTCCTTGTTATCAAGAAGATCCGAGATGCCAGCCTGCTGCAGCCCTTCAAGGAGCTCTGCACCTTCCTCACTGAGGTACGCTCACTTCCTCACAGAAGTCCTCATCATGCAGCGCGCCCCTAGTTTTCCTGTGCATCATGCGTCCGGTTGTTTGTTGTTGAAGGTGAAGAACCTGATTGTTTACGTGGAGAAGAAGGTTCTGGATGATCCAGCCATTTCAGGCGACGAAGTCTTCGCCGCAATCTCTAAGAAATTTTGCACTTTCAGAGAAGGTAACGGTTCAGCTCTCTTTGCTGCATCATCGGACCTGTTGGTCCCGTAGATTTGAGTATTAAACGATGTTTTTGTTTTCCAGATCTGGACGATATCTCCAATCGTGTGGACTTCATCATCTGCCTCGGAGGAGATGGAACCTTGCTTTATGCATCTTCGCTCTTCCAGGTATTAACCTCAGGACGTACGGCTGAAACGGTTTTAAATCCCCCTGTCGCCACACGACCTCCTGATGCGCTTTGTTTCCCTCGTAGGAGAGCGTCCCCCCCGTCATGGCCTTCCATCTGGGCTCTCTGGGCTTTCTGACGCCTTTCAAGTTCGACACCTATCAGTCTCAGCTCACCCAGATCATCGAAGGTATTGACCTTCCCCTGACCTGCCCGTCAGCGCCACATTCTTCTCCTGCCAAGCGTGCCCGTCATGCATCATGCATTAATGCTTATCTATGCCGGCAGGGAACGCTGCCATCGTCCTGAGAAGTCGCCTGCAGGTACGGGTGCTCAAAGAGAACTGGGAAAAGAAGGACAGCGTGGATGAGAAGGGCATCATCCTGACCAACAAAGACGTGGAGAGCAACCGCAAGGCTGTGCAGTATCAGGTACGTTAGTCGTCGTGCTCCGGTGGCTTTACTTTCCCTCTGTGCTGTAATCAGGCCTGATTAGTTTCATCATCACCACTGAACCCTTCCTTTGGTTGGTTAGCGAGCCGTGACTTCACTAAGTAGACAGCCTGGGCCCATATTTTAGGCTTAAACTGTGTCGTGGTTTAAGATCGGGCGGTGACATCATGTCAGCCCCGACCATGGAGAGGATTTTTCCAGAGGTGACTCCTCCTGTCTCTGTTTCAGGTTCTCAATGAGGTGGTGGTGGACAGAGGACCATCCTCCTATCTGTCCAACGTGGACCTCTTCTTGGACGGACACCTCATCACCACGGTGCAGGGAGACGGTGAGTCCTCACATCCTCTTTGCATCCATTCACACATCCGTTTTCTCTGCAACGCTTCATGTCTCTATATCTGCGGACCACAGGTTTGATTGTTTCCACGCCGACGGGCAGCACGGCGTACGCCGTGGCAGCCGGAGCCTCCATGATCCACCCCAACGTTCCCGCCATCATGATCACCCCCATCTGCCCCCACTCGCTCTCCTTCAGACCCATCGTGGTGCCGGCCGGAGTGGAGCTCAAGGTACCGGCTCAGCAGCGCCTCCTTCTGTCAGCTGGAGAGATTATAGTTTTTAAATGTAAAAAAGAGACAAGAGGAAGTTTTTTTTTTTTTTCTACTGGGGGAGGGGGGTAGGGCTGCGTTTTGTAAGACAGGGAAAAAAAAAAGAACTAAACTCAAATTTCGCTTTTGTTGTTACACTGCAGGAAATTTTCTATTGTGAAAGAAGGTAAAAAAAAAAAAGGGAATGAAAACAAAGAGAAACTTTACATTAGCTAGAAATGGAACCGAACAGCAGTGCAACAAAACAATTGATTCCCCCCCACTTTTATTCATATTTCAGCTTCTTTAGCTTTTCATATCTGATGCACAAATACAGGTTAGTGCATCATTAAGGTGAATAAAGGATGATAAGCATTTATAGATTATTTATAAAAATAATAATCTGCATTTTTATTCAGCCTCTTGATAAAATCACCTGCGGCCAGCTGCTTTAGAAATTGCTGTGTTTAAAGGCACAACTGCAGCCCTGCAAAGACCAGAAAGCTTTAGAAAGAAAAGCCACAACTCAGGTTATAGAATCGCAAACAGTGGAGTGAAACTCCAGAGCTGACCTTTGTGAAAGAATGGCTTAAAAAACGCATCAAAAATCCTGTTAGCAGTTTGCTAAACAGTCAGGTGGTAGAAGCAGCTCTGGTCTGCTGACACTAAAACAAAGCCGATTCCATTTAGTGATGGAAAACGATCCCTGAACGTATCATCTCCTCAGTGATGCACGGTGGTGGCAGCGTCATGCTTTAAGATGCTTTCATTCCAAACAGACAGGCAAACAGATGGCTGTTGACGGGGCTAAAGGTGATAATATTTTAGCGAGGAACAAAGGGTTATCTGTCGGTCGTTAGTCTGGTTTTAAACAACCTTCTGTTGTATAAGAACTGTAAGTTGCATCCATCTTTCTTTGAAGTGGTTTAAGTTTTCTTCCTTATTGTTTCTCAGATAAAGCTGTCCCCGGATGCCAGGAACACGGCCTGGGTGTCGTTTGACGGAAGGAAGAGACAGGAGATCTGCCACGGAGACAGGTTGGTCAGAGCAGCAGCACAGAGACCAGCAGCATGAAGGGGGGGGGATAAATCTGCACCGTTTAGCCGATTCATTTAATCTGAGCAGCTGCCTCAACACTCCAAGGCTTTGTTACATAAACTTATCAGGCTCTTTAATAGCCTGAGTCACATTCAATCCCTCTCTTTATGTAACTTATCCAGATATATTGACCTTCCTGGTTGTAAAGAAAGTGTTTCTCAATGGGGGATTCTACCTCACTTTGCTTCACTGCTTTGTTTCTTTTACTGTAAATACCTGAACTCTTCTTTGTTTCCTTGTTCTGGGTTCAGCTGAACAAACCTCCTAATTGTTCTTTTTTCTTCTTCCAGTATCACCATCACCACTTCCTGCTTCCCCGTTCCCTCCATCTGCTTCCGGGACCCTGTGAACGACTGGTTCGAGAGCCTGGCCACATGTTTGCACTGGAACGTGAGGAAGAAGCAGAACTACCTCAGTTCGGAGGACGAGGAATTTTGAGGCCCGCGCCGTTCGCCCAACGTCGTGTTTCCAGGACTTTTTTCAATCAAAAAGACGAAAGCAACATGAGGGTTGGTGAGGAAACCCAAAAGGACAAAAAGGTCAAAAGAGGAAGACGGGTGTCATAATGCTGTGGTTGGCGTTGTTTCCCCACATCCAGGGAGACTTTTCTCTGCTGAAACAAAGAACTAAGACCAAACTACACTTAACTGAAAAAAGAAACAAACAAAAACAAACTCCAGTTGATGTTTAACTAAAGAAGACCGAATGGGATCAAAAATGTTTGCTTTAGCTGAATCCAGGGTCCAACTGAGCTGAATGTGCCTTAGACTTAAACACTGCTATCATCAGCATAAAGTGATTTGTTGTTTTACTCGTTTGTTTGTCCTTCCTGTCTGCAGAACTGAACACACGATGAATGTTTTAAAACCTTAACTGAATCATAGGAAGCATCTTCTTAATGTCTGGTTTTAAAAGCTCTCCTTTAAACATCTGCCAAACATTTTAAAACCTGTTTCTTTTTTTTTTTTAAGGCGTTCTGAGTGTGAACGCTGAGGAATTGTTACAAAATTAGCCGCAGTGCAGCCTTCACGTCTACTTTAAGGTGGCCTACTTTATTACAGGTCTGTCAGGACCTGCCGTCCAGATTGTGCTTTTAAATCTACTCAACAGATCACCCCTAAAAATAAACAATCATTCCTTTTAACCTTGTATATAAATGTAACGCTAATACGATGTTTTTTTTGTAAAGTAATGTCTATTTACAGGTTTACATTGTATTATTATTACTGAAAATAAATCTATTTGCTACTTTTTATACAGCTATGAGTTTGTCACTTGTTAATTTTTTCCACAGTCTAGTTTTTGAAAAACTCGTCATTCAACAGTTAAACAAAAAAGCAACAAAACATTCCAGAACAAAATGGTTTGTCTGACTTTAATAGGAAAGATACTTGCTGGTTTTGTCACCAGTTTGAATTGTTCTCCTCAAAGTGCTTTTTTTCACTTTTGTAACCGAGAGCCTGTAACTCTAAATTTTGTATCTGCAAGTTTGATAAATGTGTCCAAGAAGCTATTTTTTTTTTTTTTTTTTGCCATAACACTTTAATAAACAGAAAGTTGAAGCAGGAACGGAGGTCTTTGTTGTTATTTCAGGGTTTCTGCGGCTCATTAAAAATCATTAAAAGTCATTAAATTATATATTTTTTTATATTAAGGCCTTAATTGGCATTAAAATTCATTAAATTTGATAATCGTGGCATTAAAATGCTTTGGAAAAGAAGCTTGAGGTGGAGAAAAGGCTAGAGCAGGGGTCACCAACATGGTCACCAAGGGGCCCTCAAGGACCACAAGGGGTGCCCTAAGAGTCTTCTGAAAATAGAACAACTCAACAGTGAGCTACGTTTGAAATTTCACTGTATTCTGTTGTTCTTCTTTTTTTAATTGCGTTATAGAACATTTCATTTAATTATATATGGCATTTAAGCATTCATAGAGATTTCAAAAAGAAAATTATAAATTTAAAGAAACGATAAAGATATGTATATAATATATGAAGTTTAGGTGAACATTGACCCTTGCCATTCATAGGTCAGTATTGGTAGCCCTTCCTGTGACTCAGAGCCCCTGAATTAGCCCTCAGCGGTTGGTGACCGCTGGGCTAGAGA